AGCAAAATGCTGTGAAGGTAACTTTTTAAAACCTTCACAGTGTTTTTGCTGTGAAGGTTCGACTTTTTTTAAACCTTCACAGCGTTTTTGCTGTGAAGTTTACGTGTAAAAATGTRGTCTCACGGGTCTCACGAAAACAGGCTGGTCTCACGTGAACCCAACCCTATATATATATATATATATATATAATTTTATAAAAATTATATATTAGTGGTGGGTTGACGGGTTGGGCGGGTTGAGCCAATTTCAACCCTCCTAATTGGCGGGTTAGTGGTTTGGCGGGTAGACGGATTGGGTTTAATTGGGTTGTTAGTGGGTTGGGTTGGGCGGGTTTCGCGGGTTGACGGTTTTTTGTTCACCCCTAGTTGTTGAATAGTTAAGTGATCAGAATGATTAAGTGGTTAGAATGATTAAGAGGCTCTCATGATTTAATGTAAAATGAAATATAATTGTTTGATAATTGTTTACAATGAAATTAGGGCGCTGAATGGTTAAGGGAGATTCAGGATACAAAATCATTCAGAGGGTTTTAGAACCATTAAGAGGCAGATTTTTTTTACCAAACAAGATACACCTCTTAACGATCCAGATGTTGTCTCTTAATGAAACTATTAAAAAGTAAACAAACAACCCCTTAATCTTACATATTTGTTATTCCTCATACACATTCTTTAATCTCAATGATAACAGAGTAAGGGGTTGTTTTGTTCATGCTCTCTAATGAAAATGGTCTCTCCCGGTTTTATTTGGAATGAAAATTTGGACTTGTAGGGGAATAAGCTCATTATATTATATAATACCCAACGGTTTCTTTTATTTTCATTTTTATTGAGTACTAATTAATATTTGTAACCAAACATCCCTTAAATAGTATTCCTTCCATGTTGAATGATGTCATTAAGATACACCATCAAAATAGTTCTTATGAATAGTATTCTTTCCATTTTGAGTGATATCAAGTCCTTGAAGTTCAATCCAACTAACCCCATAGCTTGTTAATCCAAGTCTTTTTTAGGAACTAGGGATTTTCTAGTTGTTATCTTCAGTGCCTCATAATATTAGTCAGATAAGCATAATATAGCTTGGACACTCATACACAGTTACAAAAAAAAGTCTGTATACACAACTTCCATCTGTATTCCTCATGATGAGTATCAGGTTCCTCGTCATCCATTAGTCAATCTTGATCAAGTCTTGGTGTCTTCAAAGGAAAAGCAAGATAAATCCTCAAGTATCCACAAACACATATGTAAATGACAGGATTCTAACATAGGTTGATTTTATCATCTGTTTCTTTTTAACCACCACATTACCACCCTTATGGGTGATATTCATCCTTTACTGGAACAATCTGATATATTTAGGTCGGAAATTAAAATATTATATATAACAATCCATAAAAAAAATGTTGATTTCCTTTTTAGACTTATTATTAGATATTTCATGGACTAACATCAATAAAATACAAATTTATGAATGAAATATGTTAAAATTAAATAAAGGGAATTATTGATGCAAATCTATTGCATAATGGATGGTTGTTGTTTTGTGAGGAAACCATGTTACAATAATTGGTCTAGTGGTCTATGCTTACCCAATAATGATTGGGGTGAGGTTAGGCTTAGCCCCCACAATGTGGCTTGTTTCCTATTTCCTATTTCCTATTTCATTTCTTCTTCACTCACACCATTTCAACACTTCAAATTCTTTTTTATTCAATGTTATTAATTAATTTTTATGTTTGGTTATATTCATTTATTGAGAAATAATAATTCCTGTACATAGGCCCGTTTCTGACATTTTTTAGGCCCTAGGCAAAATGTAAAAAGGGGTCCTCGATAAGTACGATATTTTTTCAATATATTGTTTTTATCATCAGAAATAACGTTGAATTCATATAAAACCGTTTCTCAAAGTATTCCTGGAAGCATAATCAATCAGTATTCATTTCTAAATTAATATTATCTACTAGAACATTTTTATGTAGTATCAGTAATTTGTTTCATCATTAAAAACATCTTATAATATACTTTTGGTACATAGAAGGATATCATTTGGAGTCACAAAGTCGATTTTTTCTGATTTCCGAGTGACACTATGTAAATCAATGTAAATAAGTTGGTTTTCCATGTCATCTCATGTTAATGTTTTTTAACATCATTTTAAACTTTTATATTATGTTTTCGAATTTGGAAAGATTAACATTATTTTAAACTTTTATACTATGTTTTCGAATTTGGGATGATTAACACCATTTTAAACTTTTATATTATGTTTTTGAAGTTGGGAAGGAAAGAAAGAATGAGAAAAGAAAAGAAAAATAAAAGGAAAGAAGAAAAATTAAGTTTTTTATTCGTGTTTTTAATAGAGAAGAGAGAGGAAGGAAAAATAATAAAATAAAAATAAATTTTGATATAAATTTGTTCCTTTTCTTTTTCTTCTCTTTCTCTAAAAAATATCGAGAACATAATATTTTTCTTTCACCATTACTTTCCTCTCTTTCCTACGTAAAAGAAGACTCAAGAACATAGAGTTAGGGTTAAAACAAACTTTTATGGAATCATCAATTATATAAATTAAGAACCTCATGTTGGTAATAGTTTGAAATCTTATTCTTCTTTTAGAGATAAAATAGTACATAAGATTTATACACTAAAGAACAACTATGAAAAAACAATTATAGTTTTATTATTCTAAATATAGATATGAGTTGTACCGTCTTATATGATTGGTAATTTTTGCAAAAGGTAGGGGTTTTGTTAGCTAATAACAAAAAATTTTATCATATTCTAATATAAAAATAGAATTCGCGCGAGAATGGAACAATCAAAGGAGTCGATGGGAGATAAATTATGGAGAATATATCAAAGTTTTTCAAAGCAAGTAGTTTTAGACGTCGGTTTTAGATCAAAAAACTTAGAAAAATATTAAACAATATTATATAATGAACGACAAATTAACATCTTTATGTATTTTTTTCTCCAATATATTTAATTCATACATGTTTGGGTCTTTAATAGTTAATGTAGTATAAAATATTTTCTTGAATTAACTTTGTCGGTCCCGGTCCCGGTTCTCCGGCGGTCCCGGGCCGGGCCGGGCCCATTTGACCATCTCTATTATATATATTAAAAAATTGGGCCCCTAATTTTTATGGGCCATGGGCATACGCCTGGCCCGCCCTCCCCCAGGGACGGCCCTGCCTGTACAAAACTTTCCTATAAAATCCATTAAATTAGGGGTGTTTATGATTGCTTATTTTAGATTTTTTTTACTTATTTCAGTCTGGTATCGATGATAAGTTAAATGCTAGTGTTTGGATGAGCAAGAATAAAACTGTTTATATTGATAAACCGGTAATAAACAGTTTTTGATATGTTAATCTTTCCTGACTTGTGAAAAATTGCTTATTACCAGTTTACCAATTTAACCTTGTTTTATTAATGTTTGTTAATTATTAATCTTATTGATATAAATTTTTGTCAATAATATGGAAGGCTGTCATTTTTGGTCATTTTACATATATAAGCAAAATTTGTCAAACGCTAAAAAACCACTTATCAACTTATTGCTTTTTGGTACCGTTATAAGCTAATACAAACATTTTTTACAAAATTCCGTTTTGATATCACATAAGTTAATAAACACTTTTACAAAAAAACATAAGTTGTTTAAATAAGCAATCCCAAACACCCCCTAAGGAAAAACAATAATTATGTAGGCTATATGGTTTTTCATATAATTTATTTTTAATTGTGTTACAAACAACTAATCATATTTGTAAATCATGTATGATGAAACGACCTTAATATGGTATTTGTTGTTTATGTTAGAGTCGTACATTTGTCACTTTTTATTAAATATATGTTAGAACCTCTCTTTTTATTTGAAAGGAATCTTATAAGGTTTGACAAATCTTATATGGAGTCAGGGTTATGGTTTATCATTGAGATTTTTGTGTATGATACTCATGAAAATCTATATCCATCTAGTTTTTGATAGTAGGGACGTGTTAGTCTCAAGTCACCTTGAATCGAACGTTTTCTTCTCTATAAATGTTAAAAAAAACTTTACTCTCATCAAATTATTTTTTTTTTTGGTAAATGAACTTCCATATATCACATAATGACAAAGTCATATGTTATAATCTTTATAGAAAATTGAACAATCAACTTACAATTATATTCACAAATCGGTAGATTTTTATAATTCGCTCTTTCATTTATTTCAAGAAACATATCATACTTGATTATCCATCATATCACATGTATATATACAAAATAGACAACCATGTTTACTCTCAAATGAGAGAGATAGACACTAGAAATATACTTGCATCTGAACCAAATTACCAAAAAAAAAAAAAATTAAGGGTAATAGCGACATTTCACACCAAGAATTCATTGCAACTCTCATTCTTTAGCTCTTCCTTTGTGGGTATTTCTTCCGGATTCAGAACTTTTCCCATTCAGTCGTAACAACGATCGGCCACTTCATCGAGTCTCGTTGCTTTTCCATTGGTGTTATGAGTCTTTGCTCGAATGAGATCTTATTCGGTCGTCGTTGTAACGAGCCTTGTACATTAGCCCTGTCACCACTACTTACAATCTTGGAATTTTGGATCTTCAATGAATCGAGAATTTCTATATACCTTTGCACTCTCTTTACCTAAAAAGAAAATCATTTAAAATAGCTGAATATCAAAGGTCTTTTTAAAGCATAACTGGAAAGTTTCTAATTAATATAAAGACATTACTATCGAGATTACATGTGTAAATTGTCAAATCATTTGATGGTTTTGAATATCAGACGCTTGTCTAGAATTATCATTTAAACCAGATTTTCAATTTTCAATTAAAAATACCTGCATTCTCCTCTGCCATTTCACATCTCCGTCAGCTACGATTCCATCCAGCTTGATCAATTGCGACATCAACAACTCGATCAAATTCAATACGACTTTCTCCACGACTTTCTTACCACCATAAACTTCTATCTCCAAAATGCCAACCTGTGCGTTTATTTTTTTATAAACATGATGATTGATTTTAATTCATATACTGATTTCTAGCTATAAGAACATTTCCGACAACCATGTTATATTTACTCTCTGTTTTTTTTTTCTTTCAAATTTGGAGATTTCTTCATTTTCCCTCGTTTTTTTCTCCATTATAAAGGAGAGTTTAACATAGCTGTTGGAGCAAAATTTTCTCAAATTTCCAAAATGGGGTGAATTTTCTACCATTGAAATAGAGGTAAATTTTCTTAATTACCTGCTTCGCAAGTCTATCAATTTCTGTACTTATGTCAACAATCTCCTTTTTCGCTCTATCCACTTTCGTGGATTTAAGATTTTCAAGAAGTCTTTTTTCTCGACTCAATATATCATCAAAAACCACCATTCTTGATCCGTCTTTGACTCCTGCGACATCTAGATACGCTTTCGAGTCTCTTTCCTTGTCTTTAAATACTATTTTTTGATCCAAAGGATTCAATCCCGTTGGCCCTCCCAATATTTTCTTCAATTCCGCTACACACCAAACATCAAATTTCCAATTAACTAACCATAAGAAACCCAAAAGTTAATTCATCCACATCAAGAACGGTAATTTCGCCTACCAATTGGTCTAGCGATATCTAAGTTACATAGAGTCCGACCCATGTGAGGTCAAAGGGTTCAAACCTCACCAGAATGAGGAGGGTGCGTAAGTATTTGTTGTATATATCTAAAAAAATGGTTAATTTCGTCTTTTCACTAGTTATATACGGACGTAGACCTTCGTTCTATATGTATTTTTGCCGTTGTATCATATAATATAATGGACTATTTACATATCTTTTATACCAATATACCTAAATAGACATAAATTAATAGGAATCTAATTAGAAATTACCAAAAGTTGCTTGAGATTTAATGTTGACTTCGTGATAGGTTGAACCATATTTGACTTTGACTTTAATGGTGGGAACTACGGTTTGACTTTGATTAAGATCTGAATTCCTCTTCTGCACCAACATTCCACCGGGCCTGAGTTCCCAACCACTTACTCCCACCTCCCTACCACCACCACCGGCGCCGGCAGTGGAAGCTCCGCCTTTCGCCGCTGCAAGCTTTCCAAGATTTCTTGATTTCACAGTAGCCAACATATCCTCCTTGAGAATTCAGATGGAATTGTAACACTAATATATGACAAAAATTTCAGAGTGGAAGATGTAAAAAAGAAGGGGTTTTGAGAAGTGTTGATGAAGTTTTTGGAAACTTAAGGAGGAGGAAAACCATGAATGAAGAAAGAACCAAGATTCTGACCCACTTTTACAGACTTTGCAACTTAAACCCCTCCCTCTTGTTTTTGTGTAACTAAAAAGCTCATGAACAAAGCAACCAAAATCAAGAATTTGGTTTGGTTTGGTTTAGTTGGGTTTTGGTTCAAAGGCACCCACAGTTTTACACACTTGTGTGTGTATTTTGAATAGGCAATGATGGAAAGAGAAACCAAGATTATATCTATATATATATACTTACATATACATACATATATATATATATATATATATATAAATAATAAAGAAGGGGGAAAGAATAAAAGGAAAGGCCATGGAAAGAAGGGTGTCCACACAAACATGCATTTTACTATTTGATACTACAACTGTAATATATAATGAAACATAATTGAATTAAAATAAAGTAAATAAGTTGAATAGTGTTTGTCTTTTCCAATTCTATTTCAACAAAACACATTCTACACGTTTAAGGAGTTGATTCAAAGCTTGGTAAAATGTGGTCAATTAATCAAGAAAAAGACTAATAAATTATTATTATTATTTTAAGATCAAAAGGTAATTCGTTTAAGTGTTGACGATATAAACATTATTAATAAAATATGTAATAGAAACCAGACAGATAATTTACATATACGTATAAGACACATATAACTTTTCGAATTTAGGATTCTATCAAAGTGAAAGATAGAGGTTTTTTCTCGTATTTAAAACATTTGTCAAGTTCATAAAAAGTAATGATTTAAATGTAATAACGTGGATTTAGTTATATGTTAGTATTTGATGGGATAAGTAAGAAAAGGTTTGTACCCAAAAAGCCAAACAGTGAGAGATATGATTTAATTTAATTATAAGTTATGTTATATTGTTTGCTTCTTCAACAAACAGCACACATTTTAAATAAAAATTAAAAACTAAAAATAAAGAAAAAGAAAACACAAGCACCAGCAAGGATTGAAAAGGACAAGAAAAAGAAGCCAGATATGTGCCTCACCTTCTTCCTTTCTAATCATTATCTTCAAAATTTACGCTCCAAATATTATATATATATATATATATATATATATATATATATATATAAAGGGAGAGAATCATGTCTATACGAGAATAATATCTATTTAAAAAAACTGTTGAATCATATATAATTTTAGATTAACATCATGTACAATATCACATGTGATTCACGCAATATTGACACGGCCATTAATGTAAAAATCACATATGATTTTGTATATAATTTAATCATTTTTTTATTTTCTTAAATAGTACATATTCTTGTACGAACCTACGTCTATATTTGGAGATTCATTTAGAAATGCTAAATATTTTAGGAACTTAGGATCCATTTTGGTAATCATTCGTCTATACAGTATGTACATATGCATATAAATAATTTGTCTGGTATACAAATGTACATAATATGCACACGTACATATAAACCAATTAAGAAACAACTTTTCAATTACTTTTATGTACATATGCATGTCGTAAAGATGAGTTGATAGAGTGTTACTCATTTTTTTCATTTTTTTAGAGTTCCCTTAACCCCTCCCTCCCTCCCTCCCTCCCTCTCTCTCTCTCTCTCTCTCTCTCTCTCTCTATATATATATATATAGAGAGAGAGAGAGAGAGGGTGTTTCAATAGAGAATATGATCAAAATAAAATAAAAAATACGAGAACATCATAATTTAATTTTTTTTTGCACAATTTGCTTATGATCTCAATAAAGCGACTCCGATTTAATTGGCATGATGTTGTAGCTTACTGGAATTGCTAAAACAATCCTAATTCACCCCTCCATGTCACAAGTGATTTCACTGTATTATCATATGTGATTACAGAACATGATCAACACAAGTATGTGGATGACTTGGCCCGCGACCTAAATTGTGATCAAGGTCGTTTATAATCACAAATGATTTCAGTGTGTCATCGTATATTCTTATTTGAACTATGTTTTTGTTTGAACTTTGAACGTCTCTTTATACACACACACACACATATATATATATATATATATATATATATATATATACATATACATATACATACAGAGAGAGATGGAGTTGAAGAGAGAATCCAAAAAATAAAAACAAAACACCGCCATTAACCATCGAATCTAAAAAATTAGACGACTTAAAATTCAAAGATAACCGTGCTTGCGTGTGTGTATTTTTTTTTGTCTGAGCCGAGGGGGTCAAAAGTCGTATTTTTTCGTCAGATTGGTGATGTTCATATATTTACAAAATTCAAATCTATAAATGGGTATAACTGGTTTTACTAAATACAGATACGAGATGTCGATAAGTAAAGAAAACACAAAAATACAGGAGTCGTCGCTATCACCAACAAACGACCACATCAGCCAGCCAGTTACTTTGTTGATCAGCTTCTAGGGCCATAGGCTCTTGGCTTCAACAAGACTAATCCAATGTTCCAATCTCACCCCTCCACTCACTTCTTACTATTTACATACCACCCCTTCATCTTTTTATTCTCCTTTTCTTTCTTTATTCACTTGGATTGTTGTAATAAAAACATTTTATGTGTGAAGAACTAAAAGACTTAAAACCACAGCTTAAGATGGTTGTGATAAGATATGTTAAACAATTTTAAAGGAGGCCGTTGATCACCATGCATTATAAGCAATGCCAACATGGTTTGATTGAATTTTCTACAAACCTCCAATGAATCTCACGTGACTTCACGTGATCATGTATCATTTTCAAAATCCAAACTATTATTATTAAATTCAAAATTTATATTCATTTCTCTGTACCATAGCCATAAATACAATTATTTATTTATAAATCGTAATCATTAGTCGTGGATGCATAAATAATCATGTGTTTGTTGTTAAAAAGTATTTAAAAGTCAAGTTTAAATTATAATTGTATTCTGAATTGATGATATGTATTTATTTAGATTTAATTTAATCTGAAAAATGTAAATATATAAAATGATAATAATAATAATAAGAAATGGTGAGTGTTGATAAAGAAAGTGGTAGATGAATAAAATGGAGCAACCAGGAACACCACATGTGGTTCAACACTTGATGATGTAGCCACCCTTCCATCCTTTACTACTCAATGGGACCATATAACACCACTTTACACCACACCAAGAATGAGACCCTAAACCACTATAATTACCACCACATTTCACCATTTTCCCAACTAAAATAATTCTATCTTTTCACCATCAATAATCACTTCAAAACAGGCAAAAGTGGTGGTGGTGGTGGTGGTGCAACCATGGTGAGGTGTGGTGTGGTGGTGGACTGGTGGTGGTCCATAAAAGAGGCGAGAAAATATGGCATTATGTTAATAATTGGGCCGGCCACAGGTCACCATATTCCAGCTGCCTTATTCAAGACTAATAATGATAAGTGCAACCAGAAGGAGACTGAAAATGCAAAGTAGGAATAAAGACCCTACCAATTACCTTTTATTTCGGGGAATTGTGCTCCCAAAGCAGACCATAGAAAGGCGGTCAGGTCGGTACACCCACCCTGCTAAAACAAAATGCAATGCTCCTCGAGAAACAACTTAACATGTCGAAAAGACTAAGGATTTCATGATAATTAATCATAAGTGTTACATACTAGTTGACGGTTGCAATGGTAAATAAATAAAAACGCTGATTCTAAAAAAACATTTTGCTTGAAAAAACCTCAACCTTTGCTTTTGCATGAAGCAAGAGAGATGTGTTTATCAGGCTTCTTTTCGGGCTTTGGATCTGGCTGGTTTTGGCTTGATAATGTTGCCCAGGAGAATCAAAACCACTGGAATGACAGTTCCGATATAGTGTACGCTCCCATATGCAGCCAATGTTTCCTCCAGGCTTAATACCTGTTGCAAAAACATCAACAAAATAAAATTAAAAAAAAAAAAAAAGAACAGGTTTTAAGTAGTTTATTAAATTTCCTCAGCTATTAAAAAAACGAACGTGGTGGAATTTCTGATGTATGAGTTTAAGGCTATGTTTGCCAAACTATCTTATAAGCTCGTTGTTAGCTGAAAAGCTCATCAACTAGCTTACAATGTTTGGTAAAAACTAGCCGATAAGTTGGATGGCAATGTAAACTTCCCCAAAAGGATAGGTTTTTTGGTCATTTACGTAAAATATAAGGGACATAATTGGAAAGAGCGAACAAAAACTCCCCCGGAGCTTTTTGAAAGTTTAAAACACCAGTTTCAAAAAGCTAGCTTATAAGCTAATTTATGGCCTATCAAACGGGTTTTTTTCAATAAGCTAGCTTATGGTTCCCAAGCATGGCCCATGGAGTGACACATTCCGAATTTATTATACTTAGAACTCTCATTGCAAATTGACCATAAAAAATTGTCAAAAAGAACACTACAGTTATTAGTATCAAGTGATTTGGGACAAATATGCAAGCCACCAACATGTTTGGCATCTTCTTGTCTACAATCATCCATTCTTGCAAAATCTAGTGTTTCTTGCATTTGCACAAGCAGGATGGTTTCTTTACAACAAATTAAAAAAAGTTAAGTAGATCGTTCAAAAACTCATGCATTCTTTCAATTTGGAAAGAAGAACAGAAAAGAATATTGATGTTGGATCATAATGAAACCCATATCCATTTTAGATTTAATACTAGAAGCAACCTTCAAACTCAATCTATACGAGATAAAAGATAAGAACCAAAAAGGAAAAGCATATCAAATTTCACACTAACCATGAAACCGACGCACGAGTAGTTTAGAACAAGAAGTGTGTAAGCAAAGTTCATGAGCATGAAGGTCTTCTTAAGTATCACTGCATTTGGTGGAACCGATTGTTGCCATCTGTAAATGGCTGCTCATAGACAAATAAGAACAATGGTAAGCTAATAGAATAAATTGTATCCATGAAAGCCAGTCATGTAGATAGGGTTGACATATTTGTTACCTCTTGAACCAGCAATCATCAAAGCAGATTGAACAAAGAATATCATGTATCCAGGATATAATCCCTGTTGTTATAAGAAATATTACAAGTCAAATTGAGAAAGAAGCTAACCCTTCTCAAGAAAGAAAAGAATATGATACCAACACTGGAAGATTTTTCATGAAAGAGTAATTTGCATACAAGAGAATGATGTAGTACTCAAAGAGTAACTCGACTCAAACTCAACTCACTAACGCAGTTATCACAAATTAATAATTTTGGATTACCGCTAATCTCCCATTTCACACATTATAAAGGGAACAGACTACTCACATGCATGATTCAGTTTTGGTACAGCTAAAACTGGAATATATAACTATCATTAGAAGTCATCACAGTTAAGTGTAGCTCTTCTTTTTGGGAAAGGAGAGCGATCTCAGGTGACTTTCTAAAGAATAAAACAGCCAAGATTCGATTCATCCATTTCAGATATTAGAGTAAATAAAGTTTGGATTTGTAAGAAATCGAAAGATTAAAAGAAAGAATGCACTTTAAACTTACATGCCAGACAGCACTAACAGTCTGTGTTGCTAGCAACTGGAAAAAACCAGCCTTCTTCCCCTTTTGAACAAGTCTGTCATAAACGTCTGAGAACACATACAAGTATTAGAGGGACGTAGAATGCAGATTGCTTCTCACAGGTCCATAAATACGCATTAACTAAACATGCATGTGAATAGTAAAACATTCCATATATTGTAAAATTAAAAGGTGGACCGAGAATTAGCCACTAAATGAAGAAACTGTATCTCTAGGTATTTCAGATAGTCGTTCAAGAACAGACACAAAATATTTTAGGCTGGCAATGAGAAGACTCACAATGACGAAGCCATGTGCTGACTTGTATGTTCCATACGAGTGGTAACTCAACCGAACTCTTTGCAAACTCAACACCCAAGACGTCAACATTTTTTGCACGGTCCCATCGTGCTTTGGGTGGAGAAGAATTGGTCCAACCACTGAAACCCAGGCCAGATACAACGAGAGAAGCTTCTGAGATGGACCAAATGAAATAATATTTCCAACGGGCTGTAAAGCCAGACATGTACTGGTAACTCAGACGATGCACAAATCCCCACTCTTTATATATTGGCTCACTGAATCTGGACAGTGGATGATGGGGCACAAGATATAAGTACAAACCCATGCAGAAAGCTGCTTGGAGAAGAGCTTTAAGTGTAGCCCCGAGAGGTGATGGTGAACCTTTCTCCGACTTCGTCCAAATCTGGGAAATTGATGTCAAAGATAAATCCATTACATTATATAAGATGCAACTCAAAGAAGAGAAATTGAAAGAAACAAATGCACAATAACAAGAACAGAAAAAACAAGCAAACAACTTGGTGCTTTACCCCTTTCCTTTCTGTCCAATCCAAATAATCCTTGACCTCATAAACTGGACCGGCAAAGTGACTTCCACAACACAGACAATATCCCACGTATTCGATTAAAGAGGGCAACTTAATTAACCGATTTTTCTTCTGGGATTCACGAAGATCTTCCTCTTTTAACAATCCGTCATTATAATTAATAGAGCATGATATCACTTTCAATGTTATCACCATAAGAGAGCCTACATAAAAGCATAAAAGATAAATTAATTGCATACAAATCGAGCATTTACTGTACAACACACTATAACGACAGGATAATGAAGTCAAAGGGCGTAAATGAAATGCAGAGTGCTCCTCAAAAAATTGAAAACTATATCTGATCCTCAAAATTGCAGTTTATTGAAATCGAGTCAAGTAATAAAAGTCATACTAGATGTATATAACAAGACCTATCCCCTAGGTACAAAAATAAAAACCAACAAATTCACCATCTTTTGTGCGACTCTTTCAACATGTACTAGACATGGCTATCATCATCTTTTTTTGACCTTGGTTGTCGAGGCCAGCTTGCACACACCATGACTAATGCCATGGGGCCCTGAAGACAACAGTCAGAAAAATCCCCACTGGCCTTGAGGAGACTCGAACTAGTGACCTATGAGGAACCCCAATGCTATTAGCATTTTTATGGCTCCGTAAGGGAAAACGGCTCCACAATGACGTTTGTTAAATAATACAGAATGGAAAATATGTGGACAGAAAGTGTGAATGAAATTTTAGCATTCTGAAAAAAACTCTCTTTTTGGAGATAGAAAGTAGTGGTATGTTACTTCACTTATCCTGCTCCACTGTTATTTTATTTCTGTTTTTATCCCAATATAATTTTGAGTTAGTATATATTAAGTGTGAAGATGGAGAGAATTCTTACCAGTAGCATCAATGCCTCCTTCCTTCCATGCATCTCCACTCATATAGTATACATGGCTACATGTTTTCCAATAGTTAACAATAGTTAATCCTTCAATTTTCCAACTTTAAAATACATCACATTATAAAAGAAAAGGAAAAGTGAACTCATTTGAGAATAATAAAAACAGAAGGAATGTTGATTCATAACAGAGAGCCAATGAAATACATGATACAATTTACAATTCCAAAAATAAATCTCAAATATTTTTAAAAGAGCTTTGAGGGGGGATTGTGATGCCAAGAAAGCAATATGCTTGGAAGTAACTTAGAACAGAAAGGTAAAGATGATGAATCAGAAACAGAAACAAAATTATCTATGCGAAGTCGCAAACACATGTTGTCAGCCTCCTTGGAAATTTTTATCAGTACTTATAGTTAATATAATATTGGTAAGTAGTAGTAACAAATATCAACTTTCCTTAAAAAAGGTGTCATCAACATAATATATTTCTCAAGTTCTGGGCAGGAAAAATGGTATTTGCAAGTTTGTTTGATGTTGAATATGGAAAACAAAATTCATCCGTTGTGATTGTTGAAGCACCGATACTCAACTTAGATTGCCATTTCTGCAGCAAGTGTGAACTAGTGCAGGAGAGAGATGATTTGGCTAAGGGCTTTTTAAAGATTCAACTATATTTTATCATTTAAAGTTCTTGCTTCAAGGCTTATAATACTTGTGATCAGAAGAAGAAGAAAACAAATATTTTGATATGTTATATATAGTTTTTAAAATCATAAAATATTTACTTTGACTCTACAAATAATTAAGTTTTGGCATATATTTTCTACTTCTCTCTGTTCCTCTTTTATTTCCGTAGCCATGCATATCATCTCCAATGTCTGTCATGTCTTTCTGAAATTAATTTTTATCAATATGCCTAAGCTTATTGTATATATGTTTGCAGGATATGTCATTCAAATAAGGTTGATTAACATGTACTTTGATGAACTACAGACAGAATAGTGCTCATAAAAAACGAATAAGGGATTTATGAAGCGATTGTAAGAAAGAATGTGATAATCATGGTTTTTCTGATACAAAGCATACATTAACTGGGCAAAGGTTGCAAAACAATGAGGTGTCTATCCATTTTGTTCATCCATACTAGGACAATAAAGGACTGATCATAACACACACTGCACAGCAGCTGACATGAGAATAATATAAAGTATCCAATATTACAAGCTGATTGTTTTAGCTTATTCAAAAACAATCTTTTGCATAGAAGCTAAAAAGAGCATTCCTTGATTTGAAAGGAAAAAACACATAAATCCTAAAATGTTAACCTTCATTGTGCAAAAATACACAGTACTTTAAATCCTGAAACATGTGTCATGTGTGACTCTCTCAAGAACATGCAACATGCTCCTGATCCGAAAACATGCACATTTTAATGTCAAATGACCTGAAATTTCACTCCAATTATGCATGTAGTAGCATAAATTGATTCAATTAAAATTCAAAATGAAGTTGAAAGTACAAGTTTGGCTAGCGATGAACTCTACCTTTTCTCTGTTATTTTGAATTTAATAAACTCCAAGATCACTACTTATGATGGAATAAGGCGGAAACTTATCATTGTACATTTGGACTGCAGCTCACATTATAATAACCTTATTTGCAATTGAAATTTGTTGGTTTTATCAAATTCATGCAAAGTAATGACCTCATTTTAGTTACGTGTACTCGGCAAAGTAATGCGTAATTGCATGCTTAGCACCGAATGAGCCCAGATTTCACAAACTTAAACCTAATTTCTCGATACTATTCAAATAAATAAAATTTTCAAATTTAACGATCTAATGTAAATATCGTACCATCCAATGAGGTAACCCATGGCTGACAAGAAGGAAATTATGCCGCATCGTTTCCTATAGAGGACCATGGACGCATAACTTATCAACATAGGCACGAAGAAGTGCAGATTCGAAGAGAACCCAAAGGATATGTAGGAAAGCAGGGCACCGGTGAAGGCGGCATAGAGGTGTCTGGCAGCGGGGCCGCCTGGGACGAAGCGGTGGAAGAAGCTGACAGGAATGGTGGCAACGAAGCAGAGAAGGAATCGGAGCACCGGAACCGATACTCCGATCGCCGACGCCATTGATTCCATCTCCATGGTTTTCTGCTTTCTCTCTCACGCAGAAACACGCACTGCGGACTGAGTTTCCCAGGCGTCGAAGCGCTTTGTATATAAATCCACATCACAGTCCCAAGTCCCAACCCCCAAACACAAAATAATATTAAATTAAAATTAAATAATTATTTTAATTCACTTTTTAAAAACTTTTTCCATTTTCTTTTTCCAAATTATGTCTTTAATACCTTTTTAATCGGTTTTTCTACCTAATATGGATGTTCGAGTCAAGAGTTGTGCCTCGATGTATCTCGAGGAGAATGCACTTGCATTCAAGTAATATCATTTGATTAATCTGTTTCAGCTTGTTTTTCGTATGTATTCGAAGGGTTCGACAGTACAACCGAGATAGGGACAAGTTTTCTTTCTATTTTGTTGTGTGATGTGATAATCAAAAACCAGCGATGATCACGTCTACAGTCAACGTTCTGTTTGTTCATTATGTCATTTTGTTGTGATAATTATTTGATACTTGTTAACATATTACTTATATGTGATTTTAGATATAAGGATGTTTTCAAAATTACAGGTAAATACAAAATCACATGATTATTCTTAATTAATTACTTTATTTTTTTTATTTTTAATTATGAGTTAAATAATTTGGAGGCATGTAAATGTTCTTGTATTCTCGTAAAACAAGGGTGTTCTTGTTTGAACCTCCACCGATACATATACATGAATCATTTATGTTTTATTTGTCTACAGAGTTATATTCCTCCTGAATCAAATGAAACATACATGAAAAAGTCAGATGTTCTTAATCTCAATCAGATCTTATGTTTGTATTTATTAAACAAAATATTTAGCTTAACTATGCATTTTATCCTGGTTTATGAAGAAGAAAAGGTTGAAAAATATATTTTATAGTCAAAATAGAACTAATTTAAAAAAAAAAAAAAAAAAAGTCAAAAATCGTGTTCGGATTGTCACATTCCACACTAAAACAATTTGAGGTTTGTTAGTGGTGGTTCATCTTTCTAAAATACACACATGTTAAATAAAAACAAGATTTTTATATTATATTATTTTATTAACTTTAATAATTAAAAACTTATTTTTTATTAAAAATTTCTATTTTTTTATTTGATAAGAAATTTGCTTTTCGTGAATCTTAATATTTGATCAAAGGTTTTAATCTGAAAATATGTATTTATTCAAAAGCAAAAGCTCTTATTTTTAATATAATATTAGTGATAATATTTTTAATTTGGTTATAATGAGTAATGACATTAAAATTCCATATAAATATAAGAAAAATAAGCAATAGGAAAGAACAAACAAAAGTAGGGTGCAACTACCAAGGCAACATGGTGAATTAAATAAAAAAATGAAATTTCAGTTTCTATGTTTAATAAAACCATATATATTAAAAACATCATTTTTGGAAATTTTGTTTATGTTTCTTTCTTTAAATGCTAGAAATAGATTTAGTGATTTACGGAAGGAGGTCGGAGAGATGGAGGGGTATGTGACGGTATTTTTTAAGGGTTGGTTTAGGCTTATTTGGTTCCATTTTTAAAATGTGAGAATGAAGTATGTGAAATTTTATTCGGAAAAGAATGAAGAATGCGAGAGTTCTTCCATTTGAGTGGAACATCTACGCATGGGTACGAGCTCCATGGGTTCCCTCGACGATGTCGAACAAAAAGGAGTTTTTGCAAAGAATATAACTCTTAAGCATACTTTTGTAATAAATCAAGTTTGGATCATATTTTTATTAAGGCTTCACTAAACGCAGCAGGAATTCAAATTTCTATTAAAATATAATATAATGTAAATAGAGATGTAACTTTTTATTATTACAATGGCAAAACTATTTTTGAAGTAAGATAATTAGTTAAAATAAAAATTATATAAAATTGTAAAAGTCAAATAGTCAATAATATTTTTTTCGTAAAATCGAAAACGTCAAATTCAAATTTACTATCGCATCCCATTTAAGGTGATTTTTGATATATAGTAGAGACATCAAGTTATGGTGAGAATCGTATTTTAAAAATGAATTGATTTGATGCATCTTGATATACTTCATTACTATTGACATTCAATTAAGATTAAATCAAATATGGAGATCACTTCTTACACTTCTTGTTTTTATCCAAAGTCAAAACCCAATACTAGCTGAGATTTGAGAAGATGATCAAAAAAATTTAATTGGGCCAAAATATATAATTAGTTATTTGGGCTCAAAGTTTATTGCCTTGTGAGCTTAATTAATATACAATACATAAACAATAAAGCCTTTATATAAACATACTATATCTATATCAAGTATTCAAGAAACTTTTTGGCGGAAATAGTTGAAATGCTTAGCGAGAGAAATGGCTAACTAAATTTAGGGATTGTAGCAGCTTAATAATATAAACATTGTATAATCTATATATATACTATATTTATTGATGCATATTACTTGAAATTCAAGATTACAAGTGATTTTGCATAAGTACAACTTATTAAAGCTTCATTTTTAAATTCGCGTAACTAATTGCAGATAAATATAATCAAATATAGGATAAACATATATTTTAAATATAGAAAAGCTAAAATATAATTAAGATAATCATTGAGTTTCTAACATAATGTATAATTATTATATTTAATAAAAATTATATTATTAAACCAAAAATAAATTACTTTGTTGTTAGACCTAAATTAAATTATAAAAAAAAATTGAATTAAAGAAGTCACACAAAAAAAACGAGAACTATTAAATAGTTAGTTTAATGCTAATATCGATTTTTTTTTTTTTTAAATTTATGCTATCTTCGAATTTATATTTCATTCAAAAATAAAAACATTATCGTTTTCTCAAAAACACATAAAATCATATTATATTGATATGGACAAATAATAAAAACTAAACATTAAAATGAAGATTTATCTCGTTGCATTGCGCGAGTACCTTTCTAGTTATATTATAAAGCATTTGACAAAAATTCTTAAAAACCATTTTTTATGCAGAAGGTACTGTTTATTGATGCATGTTACTTAAAATTTAAGATTACAAGTAAATTGTGCATAAAACATTATAATTTTTTATGCAGAAGGTACTGTTTATTGATGCATGTTTGAGTTCATGTAACTAACTTCAAATAAACATAATCAAATAGATGATAAACATCTTATTTTTAAATATATAAAAATTAAAATATAATTAAGATAACTATTGAGTTTTAACAAAATACTTAATTATTATATTTATAAAAAAATTATATTATTAAAACAAAAATAAAAAAATGAATTATAGACGTACACAAAAAAACAGAAATTTTAAATAGTTAGTCTGGTACTAATATCAATATTTTTTTTAATTATTTATGATATTTTCATATATATATTTTATTCAAAAATAAAAACATTATCGTTTTCTCAAAACCACATAAAACTGTATTATAATATCGACTAAAACAAAAAAAACTAAAATCGAAATGTATCTCGTTGCATTGTGCGAGTACTCTTCTAGTTTATTATTTTAAGAAGGAGTTTTATACATAAATCCAAGTTTTTTTTAAATTTGTCCCTCGTAATTAAAAAATATGCTTCTTCCATCAAGAAAGAACTCTTCTCAATCTGTACAAACATATTAATTCACACATACAATTTTATCCATAAATACTTAAGAAAAAACAAACCAAACACCTCTTCGGAGAGATAAAGAGGTTATTTGATAAAAATAAATAATTATGTCTGTAGACGAAGAATCGTGTGAGAATAAAAGTTAAAATGTGAAACATAATAAATGATTTGGATCTTTGATCACTTTTTTTGATCATCAATGTTTCACTTCATTTCGCTTCTCGGTCGTCACTCTCACTTACTGGATAAAACTATCGGTACTTGTTATCGTTCTTATCGGGTAAGATTCACAATCCTTGTCTTCTTCATTCGATAAGGTAAAGTGACCCGGTAAGCAACTAACAGGTGAACATTTAATAAACGATTCTAACTCCTAAGTCAAACTTTATTATCTTTTAAAGTTGCATTTTAAATATATCTTTATAAAAAATCAACCCCTAGCCGGTCTTTTTTTAACCGAACTTCTAACCTGTTGTGACTTGTGAGCAAAAAATAGGTTCAGGGTTGACCAATCAAGCATTTAAGCCAATCCAGTCCTTAATTGATATCGGGCCTTTTCTTTTTGTAATCGATCCCTAGCCGCACTTGGTTATTATTCCTATTGGTGCATCTTTACCCAATGTAAATGTAGACGAAGGATCATGTGAGAAGCGTAAAAAAAGATTTGAACCCTTATCACTTTTAATCCACCCTCATCCCATGAACTACGTTTCTCACGGGAATTGATCTGGTGCATCTCATTAGGGTTGATCTTCACTTAGAGTTGATTCAAGAGTGGAGATATCTTGTTATTCTTCTCACTATAACTTCCATTCGAACCATAACCCAACCCTGTAAATACATTCCCTTATTCAGTTATTGTATCAATGTATGTAGATGTGAACATATAGATACACCAAAGGATCACTCAATCAACGATATCTTAGCTACCTAGAACCCAGTCTCTAAGAGGTCAAAGGTTCAAACCTCACTGAAATTGAAAGAATATATTTAGCATATATAAATATTACCAAAATAACTTGAAAGTTGTTGATTTCAAAAACACTGCTTTCATACTCCTAATCTATCCACCACTTCATAACATACCCTCTTTATCTACACAGGTTATTGCACATCAAAAACACTGCTTCTAACCCCTACCTCTCCATCTATTAATGGTAAATCAAAAAACCCATTTCATTTTGGGCATATCAGGACTCCATCCACACACAGTCCACCTTTAGTGTGTGTACAATCAATCTGCATCATAGAGAACTTGATCTTCATCGGTATCTTTGAATCCTCAACAACAAAACTCCCAACACGATAAAGATTCCATGTCCCCGGTTGTGTCAAGTAGCATTGAGATATTGCTTGTTGACCATCTGAAGTTGAAAGCTGGAATCTCACCGGTTTTATGTCCCACCCATGAACATGCGCCGAGTTGCAGACCCTTCGCCCAAACCTTTTCTCCGACCGCCCCAGCTGCAGCCGGAAGTAGAGGCTGTATGTTCCTACTGGGAACGGGAACTCAACCTCTCCGTCAACTTCAAACCACCAAATTTGCTGCAGATAGGCCACAGAACGAAATCTACATCCAAGAAATCAAACAAACCTAATTAATACAAACAGTTCTTTATACCATAAGTGAGGGCAGGATGAATGCAGTGAAGTGTGTGCAAACAACCAAGCACAATGAAACAAACAACTATTTTACCTAGATTCCTCGGTAGAAATCCGGCTCCAGTATCTACGATCATCAATGCCAGTTATGGATAAGCCGTTAAAAGACGTCAACACACAAGGCTTTCCTGTGCCCTTATGCAACCAAACTTTCTGCATAAATTCAAAATGGTATCAGTAAACCCCATGGCCAAGAACTAATTTGAAAGAAATACAAGATCACATCTTATAGATCATATCATCGTATGATTCTAAATGAAATCTAGTTAGTACAAAAGTATTGCTTTCAAATCATTATCTTCGACCTAGATCAAGACGGAGCACCAACAACGAATCTTGGCCTTAAGGAAACTACAATCATTAAGGTCAGATCTTGATCTTCATCGATGACAACAATTTTAGGGAAAATCAATAATGCTCATCACATTCAACATCAAAAACATATTCCATACAAGCAAAAGATTTCAGCAAATTATCAACTTTGCTCTCTTTTTGTGTCAAAACTCTTCATCCTTCACAAACCCATATCAACTCAAAGCACTTAAGCAATATAACATCTTTTATCTGGTTCAAGATTTCACACAAACTGCTCAATTTTGCACTCTTTTTGTCATAAAACTCTTTGTTCCTCAGAAACCCCATAAAACAAAATAACATCCCCTATCTATCATGTTCAAGATTCTCATACAAACATTGCATTTCACAAAAATCATACTCGATTTATGTTGAAACTCTTTGGTTCTCACAAACCCATATCAAATAAAAGCAAATAAATAACATCTTCTTTCAAGAGATTTCTCACAAATAAATTACTCTATTTTATCCTATATTTGCTTCCCAAAATCCATGTCCATAATAGCACATAAAGCAATGTAACATATACGGATACATTGTTCCCCTCTTTTTTGTTCAAATCCTTTTGTTGATCAAAACCAAAAGCACAACGAATTGAATCGTACTTAGAGAATCATATATTCAATTGCAAACTTTGTGAGTTGAAATTTGATGTTTATCATAAACCCTAATCGGAAAGGGGTATACATTTCGATATACTCGTAGAATCCTTACCTTTGTGTTTCCATCAATGGAATTAGGTCGAGATAATATGGCATAAATATCCTTTTTGCACAAATCAGAAGGGAATTCATCAAACACCCTGGATATCACAGACTCATAATTCTCAGGCAATTTCGATTCCCACACAAAATCAGCCGACGAAGCACCACGAAAAGCACGATTAAGAGCCGCGAGCCTACAGATCTCTTGTGGGTTTAAGTGCACAAGAACAGAACCCACCACACTCTCCGGCAAATCACCCAGACCCGTTTCCGGCGCCACCGCCGGAGCAGAGGGTGTGTTGCACATAGCAAGAAAAGACGAGATACCAGATCCCATAGGAACTACAGGAAAAACCTCAAAGAATCAAAAACTTTTTATTGGGTGTTGTTTTGTTTGTGGATTTGATTGAAATCCAAAGAGATTCGAGGAAGATTGAGAGGGATTTTCGGGAAGAGAGAGAGCGATAAACGAATAGAGGAAAAGGGGATATTTAATCAGGGATGATTTATAGCGTTGGAGAGTGAGAGATCTTCAATTAAAACGGATTAAGACATAATTAGTTGGATAATTTCCTTCCAAATAGCGGCGACCATTGGCGTTGTATATCTTTAATCTATATACATATTATATTGGTCTTTTTAAATACAATCCATAAAATCCCCAATATAAATTTTCATTGACTTTGACCAACATAATTACATATTTATTTTATTATATTTAATATGAATTTTTCCTCATGTCAATTTTTTATTACTTTTAGTTATGTTTTAAAATAATTCAAAAAAATGTTTTTCATTATTTATACTATATTATAAAGCATTTGATAAAAATTCTTAAAAACCATTTTTATGCGTAAAGTACTGTTTATTAATGCATATTACTTAAAACTCAAGATTGCAAGTAGATTGCGCGTAAATATAACTTATTAAAACTTCATATCTGAATTTATGTAACTAAGTGCAGATAAATATAATCAAATACAGAATAAATATTTTATTTTAAATATAAAAAAATCTAAAATATAATTAAGATAATTATTGAGTTCTAACAGAATACTTAATTATTATCTTTATAAAATATTATATTATT